TCACTGCTTCATTTTAACACTGAAAATTTCCCATCGACAAGTAGATCATCTTTCAGTTCATTTCAACGCCAATCTCCATCTCAACAAACTTCTAACTCTTCTAATGTAACTCAAGGTCAAGCGACCGTGCCTTCAAATGATCATTCATCCTCTAATCAAGTTCACACCTCTCTCTTAGCCTCCTCCGATCAATCAAATGCTGTTAGTTCACATTCTCCTCCTCCCCTTGATCCTGTTCTTTTGGCAACTGCTCAGATAGAAATTTTGGATGAGAGAGGTAACTATCAAACCATTCGAGCTTTTCTCGACTGTGGAAGTCAAATCAACATAATTAGTAATAAATGTTGCAATCGTATGGGACTTCATCTACAAAGAAGGTCTGTATCAATTCAAGGCATTTGCCACATGGATTCTTTCGCTACCAAGACAGTTAATTTTAGGATTCGCTCGTGCCACAGTCACTCACACGTTTATAGCGTTGATGCAGTCGTCTTGCCAAAAGTGTGTAACAAAATGCCCAGTTATCCCTTGTCTTCGGGATCTTGGTCCCATATTTCGAACATTCCTCTTGCTGATCCAGGTTTCAGTATTCCCAGTGACGTTGATATCCTCTTGGGTGCTGACATTTGTTCGCAAGTGCTTGAAGGTGGTAGAATTCCTGGAAAAAAAGGAGAACCAGTCGCTTTGAATACTCCTTTCGGGTGGATACTGATGGGAAATGTGAATTCCTCTTCTTCAGAACTTATTCACTCTTTACATTGCTCCTGTGAGTCTCAGGCAGATAAACTCCTCAAAAACTTCTGGGAAATTGAAGAACTGCCCCGAGTTGTGCATTTCTCCAAGGACGAACAATCTTGTGAAAAAATTTATTGTAAAACAACATCCAGAGAAAGTTCAGGTCGATACAAAGTTTCATTACCTTTCAAATCTATTGAATCAGATTTTCCTGATTCTCGCTCCATAGCTCTCAGACGGTTTCTCTCAGTAGAACGGAAATTACTCTCAAACTCCCAACTTTATGAACAATACTCAGAGTTCATGAAAGATTATTTAGAAAAGGGCCATATGTCCCTGTTGGACAAACCTCAGTTCAATAAACAGTCCTATTATATTCCCCATGACTGTATTCTCAAACCCGAAAGCACTAGTACTAAATTGAGGGTCGTTTTTGACGCCTCCGCCAAAACTTCTGATGGCTTATCGCTCAATGACTGTCTTTTTCCCGGCCCGAAACTCCAAAAAGATTTAGTTACTATTCTCCTCAGCTTTAGAATTCACTCTGTCGTTTTAACTGCTGATGTCAAGCAAATGTATAGACAAATCTTGGTATCCGAAAATCATAGGAACTTCCAACGAATCCTATGGAGATTCTCACCTAATGCCTCTATTCAAGAGTATGTGCTCAATACCGTTACATATGGTATCAGTTCAGCACCTTTTTTGGCCATCAGGAGTCTACTACAACTTGTTGACGATGAAGGTTCTAGATTCCCTCTTGCTTCTGAGGCTATCAGATCGGACACATACGTAGACGATATCGTAACAGGTTGTAGTTCTCTTGAACAAGCCTTAGAATTGAAATCTCAGCTCATCTCGCTATTTAGATGTGGTGGGTTCGAACTACATAAATGGAACAGCAACCATCCAAATCTTCGTCTTGACGAAACCTCAACAGACTCTGTTGCACTCGATTTAGATGACTCACATGTGCTCAAGGTTTTAGGTTTGCACTGGAATTCAAGTCAGGATATTTTTTCATTTCATGTTTCCGTTCGTGATACTCTCTGTACAAAAAGAAATATTCTTTCTAATTTAGCTCGAATATTTGATCCTCTAGGGTTCGTTGTCCTCTCATCCTCTTCGCAAAAAAAATGATCCAACACTTATGGACTATAGGATTCGGCTGGGACGATGCCCCACCTATAGACATTATAAATATATGGGATCAGTACAGATCGGAACTTCCCCAACTCTCCCAAATTTTTATTCCTCGCCAAATCATTTCGGCTTCAGTAGTTTCTTGCGAACTACATGGATTCGCAGATGCAAGCGAAAAAGGATACGCGGCCGTAGTATATGCTCGATTTTTTGAATCAGACTCTATAAAAACTGTCATAGTTTGTGCCAAATCGAAGGTGTCGCCGTTAAAAGTAATATCTATACCTCGCCTGGAGCTTTGTGCTGCAGTTCTTTTAGCCGATCTAATCTCTTTTATATCGAAAATTCTATCAGTTCTGTCAAAATGCCATATCTGTTGGAAGCAAAATCCCACAAACTTACAACCTCCCATGGGTGCTTTGCCCCCTCTCAGAGTTTCCCAAATCAAGCCCTTTTCCTGCGTTGGCGTAGATTTCGGCGGGCCCTATACTATCACTCTAGGAAAAATTCGAGGTGCGAAAACTCACAAATCATATATTTGTTTGTTTGTGTGTTTTGCGACCAAAGCTCTTCATATTGAGTTGGCCACCGATTTATCAACTGACACCTTTCTCGCAGCTTTAAGACGATTCATATCTCGAAGGGGGCGCATGAGCTATATCTACAGTGATAATGCCACAAATTTTAAAGGTGCGTTCAAACAACTTCAGGTCATGATGAAAAATGCTGTTGAACAGGAATCTCTGCAAATGCACACAATTCCTCCTTCTAGTCCTCATTTTGGAGGGCTT